GCTGGGGGGTGGGGGGGATCAACCAGTACCTATTCCACAAGTGCGTGAGTGTCCCCATGTTATTTCCCAAGTGTGTGGGAAGTGGGAAGAGCAGGCAGCTGCCTGCTGGGGGCTGGCAGGAAACAACCACGGGTAGGGCTGGACATCAGCTGGGCTTGGTGATGCCCCTCTAGGCAGAGAGTGCCAGCCCCGGGGTTTGGGGGGAGCCTTTTCCTCTGCAGGGAGCAGTTTGGGTTTGGCTCTTTAACAGGGCTGGTGACAGCCCTTGGCAAAACCTGTCAAACCTGTGCTGGCAGGAGGAAATCAAGGGTGGCTGACCGGTTTTGGGGCTGGGGTGCCCATCACTGTCCTGGGTGATTGCTCTCCTGCAATTCGGGCTTTCCCAGGGGAGCGTGGGGGGTGTTACAGCAAAAGAATCCAGTGTTTGGGATGCTTTCCTGGGTTATCTCTGGCTGCTCAGGAAGGGATGCAGCCTTAGATAGCGGAGCCAGGCTCTCTGTGCACCAAAGAGATGAGGTTGCTTTGCATCCACAGCTCCTGCGTGCCGAGATCTGGGTGTCAGGGGGGCACAACCACCACCCCCGAGCTGGTGGTGCCACCAGGGCGGTCCTCACCAAAGGGGCTGCCAGCCCGGAGGGTGCCAAAGCTCCGCATCTGGTTGCAATAAGGGTGGGGATCTCGTCTTGGTGGGGATCTTTCCATGGCGAAGCTGTGAACTCGGTCACCAGGGGTGAAGTCAGCCTCCTGGCTCCCGACGGGCAGCTCCCACCCCGCTGCCTGGGCCAGATGGGGCCATGGGATCCCTCCCCGCCAGGCTCTTCGGGTCGAGGAGGGGATGCTCGCTGGTGGGGAAGCCCCGGGGGAGGCTCAGCCCTGGCCTCACCGAGGCTCTGTTACCCGAAGCACGTCGTTAGCGCAGCAGTGGCTATATATAGCCAGGAGGGACGCGTGTGCTGGGAACGTGGGACGAGGGGGGGACACTGGAGGCTTGGCAGGGCAGCCCCCCAACTGCTGCCAGAGTGCTGAAGGACGGGATGGGATAACGGGTACCGGGGCACGAGGCTGCCCAGGCTCGGCTGCCCCAACTACCCCTTCTCCAGGAGGTCTCAACGTGGCTGAGCTGCAAATGGCACCCACTCAGGATGGAAACACACCACCCCACACCTCCGTGTGCCACCCCCGTGGGAGCCACCCAGCACCCTGCCCCGTCAGGCAGGACCTGTCCCGGCTCCCCTGGGTGCCACCGCAGCGGGGTGAATCCCTGGGGAGGGCTGGGCTGGCAGCGGGGCTGTGCTGAGTCAGCGCTGGTATGCCAGCCAGCCGGTTACTGTCACCCTGACGTGCTGGGGCTGAACTGGCCCTGGGCTTCGTCCCGTGGCCGTGGCGAGCACGGTCCTTCCTTTCCCAGCTCCGTTCCCACTGGGCATCCCACACACGCCGGTGCAGCAGCAAGGGATCCCCTTGCGATGGGGATGTAGCACTGGAATGAACTGGGCTTTGGTGGGTGCTGAATCACGGTGCTGCCATCTCCTGCTCCCGTGGCGGGTGGATTTTTTGGTGGCCCTGAAACCCAGGTTCTTCCAAACTGGGGGTGCAGCGAGCTGGACCTCCCTGGTGATCCCCACCTGCATCCTCCCCGGGCAAAGGGGCTGCTGGCTGCCTGCGGGCAGGGCTGTGCCCCCCACAACCCACCCCCAGACCCCCGTGCCGGGCCGTGGGTGGGTGGAGGAGGCAGGCGGGGACCAGCTTTCCCTTCTCCTCACCCCTGGGGAAAAACTGATGCTGCCGAGGAAGCGGTGGGGGCACAGGCACAACTGCGGAGGCCTTGGCCAGTCCCCTCCCTGTGGGGGGAGAGCGGTGGGGCGGTGGTGGCGGCCATGCCGGGGGCTCTGAGCCGCCTCCGCTGCCTTCCAGGCCTGGCGTTTTTCCGTTGCGTGGGTGCCGATGCCAACGTCACCGCCGGGCACGGCACGGAGGGGCTGGCCTGTGGCGTGGCCGAGAGCTGCACGGGTAAGGAGGCTGCGGGAGCCGGTGCGGGGGAGAGGGCCCGGGTGGAGGACGGGCAGGGTGTTTTGTCTATCATGGCCGCATGGCACCCGCTGAGCCGTGCCACAGCCAAGGACACGGAGCTCAGACCCGCGGCGGGGATGGGGCAGCTCCAGGGATGCTGCCGCCTCCGGGCAGAAGGGTAACCCCTGGAGGGGGGGGTGGAATCTTTGTCCTTGTCACCCCCAGGGAACGTGACGCAGCTGAGGCGGCAGGGTCACTTCTCCAGGTGCCCGGAGGAGTACAAGCACTACTGCGTCAAAGGGAGATGCCGCTTCCTCGTGGCCGAGAAGGCACCAGCTTGCGTGTAAGGCATCACCAGTGGGGACATGGTGGCATTGGCGGGGGGTGCCATGGCTGTCCTTGCCATGCAAATGGGAGGAGGGGAACACCAGTGCTACGACGGTTTTTTGGACCCCCCTCCCACCTCCCCTGTGCAGGTGTGAACGAGGCTACACGGGGTCTCGCTGCGAGAGGGTGGACATCTTCTACCTGCGAGGTGACCGGGGCCAGATCGTGATCATCTCCTTGATCGCTGCCATCGTCACCCTCATCATCTTTGTCGTCTGCGCCTGCCTCTGCAGTCAGTACGTGGTGGGGACATGGGGATGTGGGGTGAGGGGTGGGAAGGGAAGGGCCATCTCGGGATCAGGAGTGGATCCTGCCCACCTCCACCGGCTTGGGGCAGGTTGGATTTGAGCCACAGCCTCTGAGGGTGACGGGACTGGGAACCATGTGTGATCCCACCAAGAGCTTTGGCGACAGGAAAGCAGAGGGAGGAGGGGCAGCATCTGCTTGGGGGTTTTGTTTGGTTTGGGTTTTTTTAAAAATTCTTTCCCCCCACCCCTAAAGCCACTGTCGGAAGCAGCGGAGGAAGAGAAAGGCAGAGGAGCTGGAGACCTTGAACAAGAATTTGCCTTCCAAAAGCGAGGACGTGCTGGAGACGGACATTGCGTGATGGTGCGTGGGGACCGAGGGGAGTGTCACCGAGCCCGGGGTGAGTGTCACCGAGCCCGGGGTGACGGGACACCCTCCTGGTGGGACAGTCACTGAGACTGAAGCTCTCCCCTCCCTCCGCAGGAGCTCCAGGTACCCGCGGGCGGGTCCCGAACAACGACACCGGCTGGCTCCACGGGCTTAAAACCTACCAACGGCTTGAATAAAGGGGTGACGGAAAGGTGTCCCCGTGTCACCGTGCTCCTTACGGTCCCCCGGTACCGGGCGGGTGCGGGGGGGGACGGGGCTGCAGTGCCGCCAAAACGCCGCCAGGGGGCGCCGCGCCGCGCAGTGTCTGCCCCGTGTCCGCCAGGGGGCGCCACCGGGCGGACCGCCCGGCCCCTCCCTGCGAGGGTTCAAAATGTCCGCCCGAACGCCAGGGGGCGCAGTTCCCCCGGGAGGGGAAGCCGGAAGCGCGGCGGCGGGAGCGGCGTTCCGATCACGGGGACGTGGCCGGGCTCCTGCGTGCGGCCCGGGGGCCGTGCTGGGGCTGCCTCCCGGGGCCGAGCGGGCACTGGCGTCTCCCGTCGTGCCGCCGGGTCGGGCCCCGATGTTCGGGCTCTCCGGGGCGGCTCCGAGGGGCAGGCGGCAGCCGGGGGCGATGGCGTTTCTCGGGCGAGCTCGGGGGTCCCGGGACGGGGCCGGGCTCGAAAACCGGGCAAAACCGGGGTTAAAATGGAGCAGAACCGGGCCCGGTTCCTTCCTCCTCCCCGTGCCGGCGGGCTCCGGTGCGGGAGGGGGGGCACCGGCCGCTGCCCGGTTGCTGCCGCCTGAAGCTCCGGTCCCTGCCCCGGGGGCAGCGGCCGCCTCTCGGCCGGGGGTCCCCGGCAGCGCCCGGTTCCCTCCACGGGCTCGGCCCCCGCTGGACCCGTGACCCGGCGAGCGGCCGCGGGGGCTCCGGTACCGGGGGGAAACGCGTCCCGGCGGGACCGGGGCTCTCCCGGGGCGGCCGGTGACCCCTGGGGCCGCCGGGCTCCCTCCTCCCGCCGCGGGCACCGGCCGG